GTGTCCGGGCGGTGTGCTGGCCACTTACCCCCTTGTGTGCCATTCCGGCCGTCACTCGCTAACAACTCTTACCCCAACAGTCTGTTAAAGGCAATATGAGGGGTTATTGCCTTTGTGTGTGCGGCGCGTATGTGCCAAGATCAGCATCTAATGAGGAGGTCCGTGGAAGGACGCGACTGGGCAGTTGGAGGCAGTCACCCTCCAGCAACAGCGGACGGCAGAGGAGCAACGCTCACAACAAGGAGTGGAGTGCCGGGCGGATAAATCGGAGTGGGGCGCCAAGGTGGTTCATCTGTTAGTCATCTCAGGCAGTGAACCAACAACACCTGAGTCAGTTCATTTGACCTCCTTCCAGCAGTGAGCCGTCGACACTTTACGCGGCCTCAGTGTGTGCCTCGCCTGGCATTAACGCCGTGATGATGTCACCGTCACTTAGTGGCGAACGGCGATTGTTGTTGTTGTTGGCCGTGATGACTTGTGAGTGTGTTACGAGTGTGTATCGATACGTGTGAGCAGACGTGAGCATACGTGCGTGGAAGTAGGCATGTGAGCATGCGCATTGTGGTTATGCGCGTGTGTATGTGTATGTGTGTGTGGGGAGCGGTAGTGTCGTGGTTAGTGCGCTGCGCTACGAACCTGGCGAACCGAGTTCGGTTCCCGCTCACGGCCAACAACAGTGACGATTATCTAAACTGGTCCTGGACCTCCCCTAGATCGACTCAGCCTTAAATTTGTACCTGGTGCTCGCTAACAGCACTTGCCCCAACAATCTGTTAAGGCTATACGGAGGATCTTTGTCTTTGTTTTTATATATAACGCGCTGCTGTACGAACCTGACGACCCGAGATCGATTCCCGCTGACGGTGACGAATATCTGAACCGGTGTTGGGGCTTCCCTAGGTCAACTCAGCCTCAAACAAGTACCTGGAGCGGTATGTAAATATCGAGACAAAGGTGCCCGGGGAGTGGTTGTTGCCACCCACCCCCTCGCGTGTGCCGCGTCGGTCTTCACAGGCGCGACTCGCTAACAGCACTTGCCCCAACAGTCCGTCAAGGCTATACGGGTGATCTTTGTCTTGGTCTATTGTGCCGGATAGGAACAGACAGATGCAGGCAGGGAGAGATAGGGGAGGAGGAGGGATCGCTTGGGGGGCCGGACTCCTTTGCCTCCCCTTGACTGCCTACAGAGCGAATATTGTTCTCCTGATTGATTTTGTTGCCTGTCGCTTGCAGCACTTGATTACTGCCTATATGAGGCTGCTCCAATCAACCACTGCCAGTGTCAAGGGCAAGGAAGCTTGACTCTCCGAGTATCAGAGTGCACGTAAAGATTGGGTTCCGGCGGCTCTCCGGTGTCACTCCTCGCCAGCACCGTTCATCCCCGTGGCTGGACCTGGCCCCTGCCAGGTGGCGCCGGTTCTTGAGATGCGACGACTCCTCGCACGTGGACGATGCACGTGGACGTTGCACGTGGACGGTGCACGTGGACACCCCTCCCCCCTCTCTTTAATTACGGGCTTCCCTCTCCGCGCTCACTGCGATGCAAATGAGCGGCGACTCGCATTGTGCAGCCCTGGCAGCGAGGCTGCATCCCCACCGCCACCAACACCACTACCACCACCACCCCCACCACCACCACCACCCCCACCATCACCACCACCCCCACCACCACCTCCACCACTACCACCACCCCCACCACCACCCCCACCACCACCACCACCGCCACCTCCCCCACCACCCCCACCACCCCCACCACCACCACCACCACCTCCACCACCCCCACCACCACCACCACCCCCACCACCACCACCCCCACCACCACCACCATCACCCGCCCACCAAGCCCCATGGCCGGATACGGCTGTAAATTTATGTAAAATCGATGTGGCCACACCGACTGCATTGGGGTTGTGAAGGGGGGAGGTGGGGGGGACTGCATTAACCCGTCGTGTGCAGCACGTAACGAACGCGAGTGTGTCCCACACAGATGCAGACAACGCGTGCATCACTCTCATTACGTCACTCCTCCCTGAATCACTCCCCATTGCGTAACGATGCATTGCATCCGATACTGTATCACTCCGATATACATCGGGTGGCCCTGCCTCCATCAATACTGCATCACTCCTTCCTGTATCACTCCTCTCTGCATCACTCCTTCCTGTATCACGCCTCCCTGCATCACTCCTCTCTGCATGACTTCTTCTCGTGTCACCCTTCCCCGTGTCACCCTTCCCCGTGTCACCCTTCTCCGTGTCACCCTTCCCCGTGTCGCTCCCTTCTGCATCAACTCCTCTGCGTGCTGCAGATCGTTAATCGGCGAGCCAGCGAGCAATGTGACGCAGCGCACGTGGATGGAATCTGGTTGTGTTTGTGTGTGTGGACGTGATGGAGAGTCGAGCGCCTGTCGATACAAATCTGTGTCGGAGGCGGTGGCGAGATCCTTCTGTGATTGACTTCCTTAAGGTCGGCTTCGCCTGAAATGAGCGACTGGTGCGGTGTGCTGTCAGCCCTGGACGATGTTAAACAGCTGCATTAATAGGTACTCGCTGACGGCACGATAGCCGACATACACATCCACGCTGCGGCAATCGCGAGTTCATTTCCAAGGGTTATTCGCGTGTTGGTGAAGGAGATCGCGTGTCTAGCACTCGCCACTGCCGTTAATCGTGGCCATGAAATATGACTCACTTCGCCCGGCGCATAGCACGCAGCGCGCGCTAATTACTGCGCCACCGCTCCACAACACCCGCTCGCCGTCTAACGAGAGAATGTCGTGAAAGTTTAGTGGCAGTGAGACGAGTGGAGTTAGCCAAGCGAGAGAGTAACAATGCAACGGTTAGTCTCGAACAATTCCGTGCCGTTATAGTTCCAGTGGCCACTTGCATCGCAATTCCTTAAGTGAACGCCGCCTTTCCCCCACCGCAACCTGCATTGACCAGGGCGGTGAAGTATGGTCCAACAACCCGCGTAATTACAGACACGGCGTGGAACAACCCTTCATCCGCAGCAAGTGGGTCAACAAAGAACCGTGCATTATTTACTCAAGCTATTCGTTGCAGCAGTATTATTGTTTTTTCCTCGTACAAGTCTGAAAGCCGGCAGCGGTGACACCAAAGATGCTTTGTTCCAAGTCTCTTGCTCATTTGCAAAAGTCTGCCGCTCGTAATTTCCGCGCAGCACTTACATCTCTCTCGCGCGCGCGCCAGACGCTGGTGGTCTACTCCTCGCAGTGATGCTGCTGGTGCTGCTGCTGCTGGTGATAATGATGTTAGACTTCCTGCTGGTGCTGCTGGTGCTGCTGGTGGTGATGATGATGTTAGACTTCCTGCTGGTGCTGCTGGTGCTGCTGCTGGTGATGATGATGTTAGACTTCCTGCTGGTGCTGCTGGTGCTGCTGCTGGTGATGATGATGTTAGACTTCCTGCTGGTGCTGCTGGTGCTGCTGCTGGTGATGATGATGTTAGACTTCCTGCTGGTGCTGCTAGTGGTGATGATGATGTTAGACTTCCTGCTGGTGCTGCTGCTGATGGTGATGATGATGTTAGACTTCCTGCTGGTGCTGCTGCTGTTGGTGATGATGATGTTAGACTTCCTGCTGGTGCTGCTGCTGGTGATGATGTTAGACTTCCTGCTGGTGCTGCTGGTGATGATGATGGTGATGATGATGATGTTAGATTTCCTGCTGGTGCTGCTGGTGGTGATGATGGTGATGATGATGTTAGACTTCCTGCTGGTGCTGCTGATGCTGCTGCTGGTGGTGATGATGGTGATGATGATGATGATGTTAGACGTCCTGCTGGTGCTGCTGGTGCTACTGCTGGTGGCGATGATGATGATGTTCGACTTCCTTTAAAGGGCAGCAGAGTGTCCCTGGGTGAAAGCCTGACCACCACGCGGCGTGGAGAGACGACGATTGCGACCAATATAAAGCCTCGCGCTCGCTGCAGATTTATATTCCCGCCGTCGCACGACAGTCTCTCAACAGGCGTTCTTATATAATTGAGAAAGCGTGGCTAAATTTTTTTTAAAGAAAAAATTGAAAGTATCGAGCCGTCCGCGATAAGCGCATAATTATTGGAGTGTTTTCATCGCCACACTCGCGAGACAGAGCCAGCAACATCGAAGCGAACAGCGCCCGACCCGCATTCGAGATAAGAAGCGAAACGCGTCGCTTTAATTCGTGGCCTGACGCAAAACTTTGACGCACAATTAAACAGCGACGCTCTCGCATTTTCTCGTTCCGCCGCCGCCGCCTCCGTATTTTCCCCTTCATCGGCTCTGAATAAATGCCCTCGTTGTGTCTCCGTGCGGCGCAGCGGCTTCAGCGAGACGAGCATCTCGCTGCTGTTGCTGCTGCTGCAGCATCGGCGGCAGCGCGCGTTTGGGAGGGCTTTGAGCTCGCGCGCGAGAGAGCGAGCGAGAGATTTGCGCGACTTTTTTTCAAGTTGGTGCGCTACGTTGTCGCGGCTTGTGTAGCAGACACATGAGGTCCAGGTGGGGGCGGTTGTCCCCCCCCCCACCACCAATCCATTCCTCGGTATAGTGAGAGAGTTATGCCGTAAGATGGAGTGTGGGGAGTGATGGAAGACGGATGGAAAAGAGGTGGGGGGGCACGCGTGAATGGTCTCATAATGGTCTCCGCTGTCGAGGCAGACTGGACCACATTATTTTTCGCGACTTGTTGATGACGTGATGTCGCAACGCCCATTGCTGGCAGCTGGGGGGAGAGGCAGCGCGCGGGCTCACACGGGGAGGGAGGAGGGATGGATAGAGGGAGGGGAGGGATGGCGATTAGAGGAGAGAGAGAGAAAAACGCGGCGAAATGTCTCATCTGTATTCAGATCGGCTCGGGTCGGCGGCAGAGGCGCGGCGTCGTGCGCTCCTGCACTAACTAGAGAAGGAGGAGGGAGCAGAGGAAGGGGGCGGGCAGACAGACACAGAGAGGGAGGGAGGAGCAAGGGGGAGGGAGGGAGGGGGGAGACACGCGGAGAGAGAGAGAGAGAGACAGGGAGGCGCGCGTGAGATGCACGGTCCGAGATGAGCTCGGCAGAGAGCTGAGCTCGCCGCCTCGAGAGAGCAGCATCGATTCGCGCGCGTAGCGCGCGCGCACATACACACATAGCGGCGCCGCGTTTAACCCCTGTGTGTGTGCTCGCTGTCTCTCTCTCTCTCACCTCCGCTCTCCGTTCTGGGCGAGGGGGAGAGAGCGCGATTTTCAAGAAGACAGCGAGAAGAGACGGGGAGCGAGTAGCAAGACCGGCGAGGGATAGCTCCGGCTTCTCAACCACCCCCATCCCCTTCGCTCCCCCTCCGCTCCCCCTCCACTGTGGGACAGCGCACCGCAGTGGAGGGAGCGTCCTGCCCGGCACGCTACGGCCGGGGAGAGAGCCGTGGGATCCCCCTTTTGCTTGACGCGGCGGGGAGTTGCGCAGCGATGGGAAGGAGCTCCTCGTGAAAGACATCACCATCAGCAGCAGCATCATCATCAGCATCAACATCGTCGTAATAATAATCATCATCATCATCGTCGTCGTCGTCATCATCGCACTCCAGGTTGCGGCGAGCTGAGCCAGCGCTTTCGACGGGACTGGATCGGTAGCGGATTGCTGGGATTGAATCCCGCGATACAAAGATCAGCAGGAAACAATAAAAAGGAGAGCCGTCGGCTGTTTGGAAGCGAGACGAAGGGTGAACGCTCAGTCGCAGCGATAGACGTCCGCGCTCGCCCGCTCGCCCGCTCGGCTTGCCTCGGCTGACTTTTGAAGGATCGCCCTCGCCTGGTCTCCCGTACAACCAAACAAGTGTCTTGTGTGCCGTCTGTTCCCTGCAAAGTGAAAGCAACCCCGCCGACGCATGTTATGCCCATTCTGCCTGCTCGGCGACTCGCGACGTTGAGAAGCGCCCAGTACCTTTGGATAAAAGGTAAGGAGAAGTGTTCGACTCTGTTTGACCGCTCTTGCTTTGCGAGCACACACACCACACGCACCCGCACACACAAACACGCCCGCGCACACACACGCGCACACAACCACACACACACACACACGCACCCGCACACACACACACGCGCACACAACCACACACACACACGCACCCGCACATACACACACGCGCACACAACCACACACACACACACGCACCCGCAGACACCACAGGCATCCGCACACGCACACACCACAAGCATCCGCACACACCACAGGCACCCGCACACACACACGCGCACACACCACACGCACCCGCACACACCACAGGCATCCGCACACATACACATACGCGCACACAACCACACACACGCGCGCACACACACACGCACCCGCACACACACACACGCGCAACACAACCACACACACACGCACCCGCAGACACCACAGGCATCCGCACACATACACATACACGCACACACCACACGGACCCGCACACACCACAGGCATCCGCACACACCACACACATAGAAAAAGATCGTCCCTATAGCCTTAACAGACTGTTGGGGCAAGTGCTGTTATCGAGCACCTATGCAGGTTGGAACGGTACACGAGGAGGTGGGTGGCCAGCACCACTCCCGACCGGCTTTGTCTCCCCATTGGCGATGTTTACCCACCGCACCAGGTGCTAATTAGAGGCTGAGTCGACCTAGGGGAGGCCCAGGACCCTTTCAGAAAACCGTCACTGGCATTGGCCGTGAGCGGGAATCGAACTCGGGTCGCCGGGTTCATAGCGCAGCGCGCTCACCCCCCCCCCCCCCCACACGCACGGACACAGCACACACACGCACGTGCAGCTATACGTGAAATCGATGTTGGCAGGAGAGAGAAAAATAATCATTTGGCAGCAGGACGGGCGAGAAAGAGACAGAGAGAGAAAAATAAAATATCCCCGTGTCCCCCCCCCCCCCCCACTTTCAATGCACGGCACTTACAGCGCCCATGAATTCCGTTTGAATGGGGATTGCGGGCGTTTTGCGCAGCGTGTAATGACGTTTGACAGCTCACGGGGGGCTTAGCACAGCAGCCTCACGCGACCACTGCGCCCTCCTTCTCTTTCATTTGCCCCTTCTTTATGGCATCGCTCTTTGCTGACGGAAGAGCCAGCGACAATGTTGTTGTTTGTCCTTTGGCGCATTCCAATTCAGTCGTTACGCTAGCAGTGGAATTCGAGTTTCATCCGCCGACATTCCCTCCTGCCTTCTAAGTAACAGTTGCTGCAATAACTACAACAACAACAGCAACAACCACCGCTAAAGTATCCCTTTGCGCGCTCAGCCTCCGCCTAAATCGCTCGTTCCTTCCTTCTTTCGCGTGCACGAATCAATAAATAAAGAGAAAACAACTCAAGTTGCATTCACGGCTGCGGCGTAAACGAAGCGTGCACGGGATTAGGTGGGGGTGGGGGGGGTGGATGTGGGGGTCTCAACAAAGCGCACCGAGCAAACGCGGAACGAGAGGGATGACAGGCAGGTGGTGTTGCGTGCAGTGGGGGGGTGGGGGGGGGGTTGTCGCTTCACTTTCTGTTGGCGAACGCGCAGAACGTGACCGCGCCGCGCTGCGCTGCACTCACATCTCAATGGGTTCCGTCCGCGGGAGCAGAGGTGGTGTAACTGGGAGGGGGTGCTGACTGCGGGCTGGACGAGAGGAGGGGTAGGGTGCGAGCGAGCGAGCGAGCGAGCGAGGTGGGGGGGTGGGTAGGTGTCGTAAGCCGTCAGAACGTGCTGCTTTTGGCACGCGCTGAATCGCCTCCTAATTGCATTGTTACACGTTTTGCCCCGCTCCGCGAGATTACTTGAGCGAAGCGTTTTATGGCCGTGCGGATAACAATCGACGTGGGTCCGCTGGCGAATTCGATGCGGCGTGGGGGCAAGGCGGCTTTGCATTGCGTGCCACACACAACACACAGATAGGCAAAGCTTCCACCGTATAGCCTGAATAGACTGTTGGGGCAAGTGCTGTTAGCGAGCGCCTCCGAAGGCCGGTAACGGCACGCGCGAGGGTGGGTGGCCAGCACCATAGCGGCGACGTTCACACAGTGAGCCAGGTACTCATTTGAGGCTGAGTCGACCTAGGGGAGGCCCAGGATCGGTTCAAATAATCGTCACTTGGTGTTGGTGGCCGTGAGCGGGCATCGATGTCGGTGCCGCTTGGTTCATAGCGCAGCGCGCCAACCCCATACGCTACCGCTCCCCGCGACACGCACAACACACACACACAATCACACGGCAGAACGACACCACAGTACGTAAACCTTCACACTCCGACTCAGCGTTCCGGCCCATAAAACCTCTGACTTGCCCAGCCCGGGTAAGCGATCAATTCTACGTGCGTCTTCAGTGATATTCTGTATATCACTTGAAAAAAAACATGCCCCTGTGTTACTTCAGCCAGGTTGGGGATCATTGAGGATATACGTCGCTTTGTCAAAGGAAAGGCCCTGGATCACAACGAGAACAAGAGGAGAATAGATAACAAATGAAGCAAATTGCGCATAAAAAATAAACGCATTCTGTAATCTATTTTAGAAGCGAACACAATCAAAGCAAATGAAAAGCAATTACTCTCCGGTATGCAACTAGGGGCTTTCACCGGCACACGATGTGTTGTGTTGCGCGTTTAAAGTTAGAGGCATTGCTGATGTTGAGTGTGTTGATGTTGAGTGTGTTGATGTTGAGTGTGTTGATGTTGAGTGTGTTGATGTTGAGTGTGTTGATGTTGGGTGTGCTGATGTTGAGTGTGTTGATGGTGAGTGTGTTGATGTTGAGTGTGTTGATGTTGGGTGTGTTGATGTTGGGTGCTGATGTTGAGTGTTGGGTGGTGTTGATGTTGAGTGTGTTTGATGTTGGGTGTGTTGATGTGAGTGTGTTGATTGTTGGGTGTGTTGATGTTGAGTGTGTTGATGTTGACGTGCTGTTGCTGTTGAGTGTGTTGCTGTTGGGTTTGTGTTGATGGTTGGGTTAGTGTTGATGTTTGAGTGTGGTTGATGTTGAGTGTGTTGATGTTGGGTGTGTGATGTTGAGTGTCGTGTGTTGATGTTGGGTTTGTTGATGTTGGGTGTGTTGATGTTGAGATGTGTTGATGTTGGGTGCTGCTTGATGTGTGTGTGTTGATGGTTGGGTGTGTTGATTGTTGGGATGTGTTGCTTTCTGAGTGTGTGATGTTGGGTGTGTTGATGCTTGAGTGTTTTAATGTGGGTGGTGTGTTGATGGGGGTGTTTGATGTTGGTTGTGTTGATGTTGGGTGTGTTGAGTTGATGTTGGGTGTGTTTAATGTTGAGTATTGTTGATGTTGGGTGTGTTGATGTTGAGTGTGTTGATGATGGGGGTGTTGGTGTTGGTGGTTGTGTTGGTGTTTGATGTTGAGTGTGTTGATGTTGAGTGTGTGATGATGTTGAGTGTGTTGATGTTGAGTGTGTTGATGTTGGGTGTGTTGATGTTAAGTGTGTGATGTTGAGTGTGTTGATGTTAAGTGTGTTGATGTTGGGTGTGTTGATGTTAAGTGTGTTGATGTTGGGTGTGTTGATGTTGAGTATGTTGATGTTGGGTGTGTTGATGTTAAGTGTGTTGATGTTGAGTGTGTTGGGTGTGTTGATGTTGGGTGTGTTGATGTTGAGTGTGTTGATGTTGAGTGTGTTGATGTTGGGTGTGTTGATGTTAAGTGTGTTGATGTTGGGTGTGTTGATGTTGGGTGTGTTGATGTTGGGTGTGTTGATGTTGAGTGTGTTGATGTTGGGTGTGTTGATGTTGGGTGTGTTGATGTTGGGTGTGTTGATGTTGGGTGTGTTGATATTGGGTGTGTTGATGTTGGGTGTGTTGATGTTGAGTGTGTTGATGTTGGGTGTGTTGATGTTGAGTGTGTTGATGTTGGGTGTGTTGATGTTGAGTGTGTTGATGTTGGGTGTGTTATGTTGAGTGTGTTGATGTTGGGTGTGTTGATGTTGAGTGTGTTGATGTTGGGGGTGTTGATGTTGGGTGTGTTGATGTTGGGTGTGTTGATGTTGAGGGTGTTGATGTTGGGTGTGTTGATGTTGAGTGTGTTGATGTTGAGTGTGTTGATGTTGAGTGTGTTGATGTTGAGTTTGTTGATGTTGAGTGTGTTGATGTTGAGTTTGTTGATGTTGGGTGTGTTGCTGTTGAGTGGTTGATGTTGAGTGTGTTGATGTTGAGTGTGTTGATGTTGGGGGTGTTGATGTTGGGTGTGTTGATGTTGGGTGTGTTCATGTTGGGTGTGTCGATGTTGGGTGTGTTGATGTTGAGTGTGTTGATGTTGAGTGTGTTGATGTTGGGGGTGTTGATTTTGAGTGTGTTGATGTTGGGTGTGTTGATGTTGGGTGTGTTGATGTTGAGTGTGTTGATGTTGAGTGTGTTGATGTTGAGTGTGTTGATGTTGGGTGTGTGTGTTGGGTGGTGTTGAGTTGAGTGTTTTGATGTTGAGTGTGTTGATGTTGAGTGTGTTGCTGTTGGGTGTGTTGATGTTGGGGGTGTGATTTTGAGTGTGTTGAGTTGGGTGTGTTGATGTTGGGTGTGTTGATGTTGAGTGTGTTGATGTTGAGTGTGTTGATGTTGACGTGTGTTGATGTTGAGTGTGTTTGATGTTGAGTGTGTTGCTGTTGAGTGTGTTGATGTTTTGGTGTGTTGATGTTGAGGTGTTGATGTTGGGTGATGTTGATTGAGTGTGTGATGTTGAGTGTGTTGATGTTGGGTGTATTGCTGTTGGGTGTGTTGATGTTGGGGGTGTTGATGTTGGGGTGTTCATTTTGAGTGTGTTGATGTTGTGTGTGTTGATGTTGGGTGTGTTGATGTTGGGTGTGTTGATGTTTAGTGTGTTGATGTTGGGTGTGTTGATGTTGAGTATGTTGATGTTGGGGGTGTTGATGTTGGGTGTGTTGATGTTGGGGGTGTTGATGTTGGGTGTGTTGATGTTGAGTGTGTTGATGTTGGGTGTGTTAATGTTGGGTGTGTTGATGTTGGGTGTGTTAATGTTGGGTCTGTTGATGTTGAGTGTGTTAATGTTGGGTGTGTTGATGTTGGGTGTGTTGATGTTGAGTGTGTTGATGTTGAGTGTGTTGATGTTGGGTGTGTTGATGTTGAGTGTGTTGATGTTGGGTGTGTTGATGTTGAGTGTGTTGATGTTGAGTTTGTTGATGTTGAGTGTGTTGATGTTGAGTGTGTTGATGTTGAATGTGTTGATGTTGGGTGTGTTGCTGTTGAGTGTGTTGATGTAGAGTGTGTTGATGTCGAGTGTGTTGATGTTGGGTGTGTTGATGTTGGGGGTGTTGATGTTGGGTGCGTTGATGTTGGGTGTGTTGATGTTGGGTGTGTTGATGTTGAGTATGTTGATGTTGGGTGCGTTGATGTTGGGTGCGTTGATGTTGGGTGCGTTGATGTTGGGTGCGTTGATGTTGAGTGTGTTGATGTTGGGTGTGTTGATGTTGGGTGCGTTGATGTTGGGTGCGTTGATGTTGAGTGTGTTGATGTTGGGTGTGTTGATGTTGGGTGCGTTGATGTTGGGTGTGTTGATGTTGCGTGCGTTGATGTTGGGTGTGTTGATGTTGTGTGTGCTGATGTTGGGTGCGTTGATGTTGCGTATGGCGATATTGGGTGTGGGCACACGAGAGTCGGGCATAATAAGATGAGTGAGCACCTCCGTGTCGAGTGCGATGGCGCTTTCGTACTGGCGGTGACGCCACCGCCGCAGTCTCACCGACGCTCAGTCTCACCGACGCTCAGTCTCACCGACGCTCAGTCTCACGAAACAAACTTTGACTGATCTCACGCACACACAGAGCCGGCGGCGGGGGGTGGGACTCCTTTGATCTGGCCGATCCCACGATGCTCAAACGATCGTCTCTGTCGTTTTTCGTGCTGTTGTCGCTGGCGGGGGCCAGGGTGCAGGTGAAGAGAAGCGCGCGGGGATGAGGGAACCCACGAGCCAGCGGCTGCGGCCGCCGCCGCTGCTGCTGCTGCTTTTGCTGCTGTCCCTGGTGCCGGGACGCGCCGATGAAGTCAATTACCGCGTGTTCGAAGAGCTGCCCGCGAACAAGCTGATCGGAAACCTGGCTCGGGATCTGAACCTGCGCTCCCTGGGGCCCGGCCTCACCTACAAGATAGTGTCCAAGTACGAGGGCTCGCCGCTGGTGCGCGTGCGCAACGACACCGGGGAGCTGTTCACGACGGCGACGCGCATCGACCGCGAGCAGCTGTGCCCCGACGTGGCGGATGAGGAGGCCGGCTGCTACCACGAGGTGCAGGTGGTCGTGCTGCCCAACCAGTACTTCAGGCTCATCAAGGTGAAGATCCTCGTGGAGGACATCAACGACAACGCGCCCAGCTTCCCGTCGCCCGTCATCAACCTCACCATCGCCGAGAACATGCCGGTGGGCACGCGCTTCTCGCTGCAGGCCGCGGGCGACCCGGACGCCGGCCTCAACGGCATCCAGCGGTACGCGCTCACCGACACGGGCAACGCCTTCACGCTCGAGGTGATAGAGGGCGCCGACGGGGAGAAATCGCCGCAGCTGCTCATCCGCGGCAGCCTGGACCGCTGAGCGCAAGGAGGTGTACGAGATGAAGCTGAAGGCGGAGGACGGGGGAGACCCGCCGCGCTCCAGCACCGCCATCCTGCGCGTGACCATCACAGACGTGAACGACAACCACCCCGTGTTCGAGCAGTCGCAGATCGAGGTGAAGATCCCGGAGAACACCCCCATCGGCACCCCGGTCATCCAACTGCGCGCCACCGACGCGGACCTGGGCTCGAACGCCGAGGTGACGTACTCGTACAGCGGCCGCGTGTCGTCTCCGGCGCGTCGCCTCTTCCAGCTGGATAACCTGACGGGCGTGATCACGGTGCGCGGGCCCCTCGACCGCGAAGACACGGCCCTTTACCGCCTCATCGTGCTGGCCACGGACCGAGGCCCCAACCCCGTGCCGGCCACCGCCACGGTCACCGTGTCCGTGGCCGACGTGAACGACAACGCACCCTCCGTGGCGGTGCACGACATCATCTCGCCCGTCGACGGCGTCATTCCACCTGACGGAGGCGGCGCCTCCCAACACGCCCATCGCTCTCATCGAGGTGAGCGACCCCGACCTTGAGCAGAACGGCCGCGTCACGTGCCGCATCGAGGGCGACGTTCCCTTCCAGCTGAAGCCCGCCTACCAGAACCACGAGAACCAGTTCCTGCTCGAGACCTCGGCCCTGCTCGACTTCGAGACGAAGAACGAGTACAGCGTGCGTCTCGTCGCCACCGACCTGGGCTCGCCGCGCATGTCCAGCACGGCGACGGTGGTGGTGCGGCTACGGGACGAGAACGACAACCCGCCCGTGTTCAACCCGGGCGTGGTGGAGGCCACGGCCTACGAGAACAACGCGCCCGGCGCGCAGATCGTCACGCTGGCCGCGGGCGACAGGGACAGCGGCAAGAACGCGCAGATGCACTACTACCTGGGGCCCGACGCACCGCCCGCCTTCAGGTTGAACCCCAGCACCGGGGTGCTGTCCGTGGCCGAGCCCCTGGACAGGGAGGAGAGGAACCTGTACCGCTTCTCCGTGATCGCCAGGGACAACGGCGCGCCCTCCATGCACGGCAACGCCACGGTGGTCATCCGCGTGCTCGACCAGAACGACAACCCGCCCAAGTTCAACAACAAAGAGTTCAACTTCTTCCTCTCGGAGAACCTGCCGCGCTTCGGCACGGTGGGTGTCATCAGCGTGACGGACGCGGACGAGGGCAAGAACGCCCTGGTCACCTTCTCGCTGGTGGGCAACAGCGACATCTTCACCATCAACCCGGTGACGGGCATGATCCAGTCCAACATCTCGTTCGACAGGGAGCAGAAGCCCTCCTACACGTTCCAGGTGCAGGCCGTGGACGCCGGCGAGCCGCCCAAGACCTCGTTCGCCAAGGTGACCATCCACATCATGGACATCAACGACAACGCGCCCACGGTGCTGCTGCCACCCTCCAACGCCTCCTACCGCCTCGTGACGCCGTCCACCTCGCCGGGCACCTCGGTGGCCGAGGTGATGGCCACGGACATCGACTCGGGCGAGAACGCGGAGTTGTCGTACAGCGTGGTGGGAGGAAACCCCTTCAACCTGTTCGCCATCGACCAGGCGACGGGCAACATCACGCTCACGCAGAAGCTGCTGCCCGCGCACCAGGGGCTGCACAGGCTCGTGGTGAGGGTGAACGACGCCGGCTTCCCCGAGTCGCTCTACAGCATCGTGCTCGTGAACCTGTTCGTGAACGAGACGGTGGGCAACGCGTCCTACGTGCAGGAGCTCATCACCAAGAGCCTCAAGTTGCCCCTGGACGTGGACGTGATCGGGGATGGCCTGAGCCAGTCGGACATCAACCGCTACACGACCATCATTGCCATGGTGGCGGGCGCGATGATCGTCATCATCCTGGTCATCGTGGTGGTGCTCTTCCTGCGCTGCCGCGGCAACAGGATGAAGAGCGGCGTGTGTCGCAGCAAGGAGAACGAGAATTGGCTGTCGCCCAGCCAGCAGGACAAGCAGAGCAAGAACCGCAAGAAGAAGCGGAAGAAAAAGCAGCAGCAGCAGAGCCAGGTGAAGACGGCGCCCTATAGCATCGTGACCATCGAGGAGCCCAAGTCGGACGACCCGACCTACCAGACCATCAACGAGACCCTGGAAGAGCTCGAGGTGGACTGCCGCACCATCCCGAGGCATAACACCTTCAGGCCCGACCGCACGAGCGACAGCCCGGACCTGGCGAAGCACTACCGCTCCACGTCGCCCCAGATGGCCGTGTCTCCGCACGCGCACACGCCGCCGCTCTCCAAGAACCAGAACGTGATCCAGGAGCTGCCGGCGGACAACACTTTCGTGGGGCTAGGCGGCGAGTCGACGTCCAAGCGCTCGTCCACGAGCTCGGACCACTTCAGCGTGTCCGAGAGCAGCTCCCAGAGCGGCTTCAGAGCCAGCGTCCAGAAGCTCACCAAGCAGGTGAGGGCGCGTGGGGTCGAGGCGTCTGTCGCTACCGACTCGTCGTGGCCAACGGGCGCGGCGACGCGTCCGCGTGCGCTGGGTCCACGTTGTGGGTGCGTGTGCCGCTGAGCGCGTGTGAGTGATTTTGCCGGGGTCGCTTTTGGGTCGGGTCGAGCGCGCCGCGGTTGCCTTCGTTGCGTTGAGCGCAGGCCGGGTGTGTTGTGTTGCGCGAAGCGATTATCTCAAACGGTCATGGTCCTCCCCTAGGTCAACTCAGCCTCAAAATTAGTACTTGGTGCGATGGGAAAAACTAAATTGGCACTAGGGAGACAAAGGCGGCCTGGCGTGGTCCTGGCCACCGACCCCCTCGTGTGCCGTGCCGGCTTTCATAGGTCCTCGTTAACAGCACTTGCCCCAAGAGTCTGGTGAGGCTATACGGGAGGTCTTTGTCTTTGGTGTCTTTGTTGTGCGGTTAGCGCACTACGCAGCGGTAGGTGCACTGCGCTATGAACCCGGCGACAAGAATTCGATTCCCACTTATGGCCAATACCCGTGACCATTATCTGAACCGGTCCCGGGCCACCCCCTAGATCGACTCAGCCTCAAATGAGTACTTGGTGCGGTGTGTAAAACATCGTCACTGCGGAGACAGAGGCGGCCGGGCGTGATGCTCGCCATCCACCACCCGTTCGTGTCGGGTGCTGGCCTTAATAGGTGCTCGCTCACAACACTTGCCCCGAATGTCTGTGAAGGTTACAGTCTGTCAAGGCTATACGGGGTACCTTTGTATGTGTATATAAGGTGCTTGGTAACAGGGTTCGCCCGAAGAGTATACTAAAGACTATACGGGGAATCTGTGTCTTGTGTATGGGGAGCGGTATTGCAGTGGTTAGCGCACTACGATACGAACCCGGCGACACGACTTCGATTCCCGCTCGTGATTATGAGCCTCCTCGACGTCGACTCAGCCTTAAATGAGTGTCACTGGGGAGACAAAGGCGGCCGAGTCATGGTTATGACCACCCACCCCCTCGTGCGCCGTGGCTGCCTTCATAGGTGCTGCTCGCTAACAGCACTTGCCCCAACATCCTGTCAAAGGCTACACGGGGGGGTCTTTGTATGTGCGTGTGGTTTAATTGGCGCTCGCGAACAGCGCGTGTCCCTCGAGTCTATAAAAAAGGCTATACGTGGAAACCCGTGTGTCTTTGTATTGTGTGTGCGTGTGATGTTCCGCAAGTGTCTGTGTGTGTGTGTGTGCCTGTGTGTTCTGTGCATGTGTGCGTGTGGTCTTACGCGTGTTTGTGAATCTGAAGACCAGTGTGTTTGTGTCTGTGTGTGTGTATCGGTATGTGTGTGTGTGTCTCTGTGCGCTTGTAGGTATGTATGTGAGCACGTGTGTGGCCTGCGTGTATGTGTGAGCATGCGTCTTTGTTTGGGTTCGTCGTTCTCTGCGTGGGTGTGTGCGCGGGTCTGCAGGTGTTTCTGTGTGGATGTGGGTCCAGGTGCTTGGGAGCGGTAGCTTAGCGGTTAGTGTGCCGTGCTACGAAACCGGCGACCCGAGTTCGATTCCCGCTCACGGCCAACACCGGTGACGATTATCTGAACCGGTCCTCGGCCTCCCCTAGGTCGACTCAGCCTACTCAAATGAGTACTTGGTGGGGGTGTGTAAACATCGCCACTAAGGGAGACAAAGGCGGCCCGGCGTGGTGTTGGCCACCCACCGTCTCGTGTGCCGTGCCGGCCTTCATAGGTGCTCGCTAACAGCACTTGCCCCAACAGTCTGTTACAGGCTATACGGGGGGACCTTTGTCTTCGTGATAGATGCGACTAAAGGACACTTGCCCCAACTATATGTAAGGTATTGCATGACATCTTCGTAAAAGTGTTTCTGTGTTGAAATGTTCGCGTTCGTGTGTGTGTGTGGTGGGGAGGGGGGCGCAGCCTCAAATGATTATCTGGCACGGTGTATAAGCAATCGGCCCTGGGGAGACAAAGGCGGCCGGGCGTGGCGCTGGCCACCCAACCCCCTCGTGTTCCGTTTCGGCTTTCATAAATGCTCGCTAGCAGCACTTGCCCCTAGAGTATGTTAAGGATACGGGAGGGGGGAGATCTTTACCTCTGTATGTTAGCCTCGTGGGTTCAACTCCCGGCCACATACGACATCACGGAGGCGTGGTTATTAGAACGGCTCTGTCCCCACCACGGCGAGGTCTGCGTGATATGTGAACATTAACACTACGAGACCAAGGACGTGGGTGCTCACTACACCACCACCTTCCTCGTGAGTCGTCCCTTATTACTTCATCATCATCATCATTCCACTGCTGGATGAAGGCTTCCCGTGAAGGCGTTAGCCCACCCAGCATCTCCCAATTCAACGTGGGATGCTCGTCGTGACTTCTTTAAATTCTCGGAGCAGAATTGAATCGCCGCGCGTCTGGAGCGCACGCAGCAAGACGTCCGCGAGACGTCGCGTTGTGCGCGTGTCTGCAATAACAGCTCCAGCTCTTGACAGGCCTCTGACCCAACAGGTGTGCTATGACATTGAATAACTCACGCCAGGACGCCTGCATCCCCGAGGCGTGTTGCAATTCGACACGGGGGTTTTTTGGGTTTTTTTTTTTGACAAGGGTCTCAAAATTACTTTCCTAACAAGGCGCGTGACATCCGCCACCCCACCCCGCCGTTCATTCATTCATTCCCAGCAGCAATTTCTTCCTCCCCCTTAGCGAACGTTGCCTCCCGATCGAGACACAGAGAACCTTGCTGAAGACGAATCCCAAGAATCCATTATCTAAAATCAGGATGCGTTCTTCTCCGAAGTTATTCGCTTTTAGCTGTTCCCAGGGTCAGATGCAACTATTACTTTTGTTTATTTGACCAGGTAAGGGCCACTGGGCTGTATTGCAATTTTCAGAGGTGAACTGGATATCACAAATGATTGCCCAACGAAGCGGCTTATCACGTGGAGGTTATAGCAGGCAAATACTATCAACGCACGTTGCTTCTAAATGTGGAGGGGAAACACCCGGAGGACCCGGAGAAAAATCCACGCAACCACGAGTAAGATAGACCAAGGAAGCTCCAAATATAGTGGTGTTAGGGTCGGGGTCGAACTCAAGACCACCTGTATACCAGGCGAGGTAATTAACATCTCTCGAATGCGGCGCCCTTGGGTAACTGTACCCCACGGGGTCAGCAAGACAGAACATGATCATCCCACCTCTTCGTCCCCTTCCTGCCCTTACCTTGCACGTGAATATTAAAACAGGTAACGGTGCAGCTCCGTCATTACTTTCTCATCGCCACTGCTGTCGGAAGGTCCCCCGCTCTAAGGAGCTCTCAAGAGCCATTCTGTAGAGGATTTCTTTGGCCCGATTTTTTTCCACTGACCAGTCGTCTTTAATAATAATTTAAAAAAGGGGTGAGGCCCCACACTTTACCCCACCAGACGCGGTCCTCATTTGTACTGCTGGATGGGCAGAGATGAAGGGAGTTCAGAACCTCAACATCATTGTTTCAATCGAATCGGATGCCCTCTGGATTGCAAGTTCGGTGTTGCTGCTCATTGGGCCGCCCCCGCCAATACTGTGATAATATGATCAATAATGCTCAAATTATTATTCAGGCAGGAGTGCCTCGCCGAGTCTCAAAACCTTGGGGGGGATTTCATGCATAGGTGGATTGAGAAAAAAGGACTTTCAACCTATTCTGTGATTATGACTTATAGTGTAAAGAACACAGATTCACAATATGGCTAATCAGTGTATATTATCTGCTGTGACAAAGGAAAAAATTGGAACAACAAAAAAAGCTCAATCGTGTTGTTAAAGAAGCGTAGAGCAGGCGCGTGCTCAGAATGGCACTTAAAGAGAGAGAGAGGAGAGAGAGAAGAGAGGGACAAGGGGAGCGCTTGCGGCGGGGAAAACAGCGCAGGTTGTAGACGTCACGGCGACTCTTGAGGAATGCGAGTGGGGGCCGCGGCATGGCTGAGAGAGAGGATGGTGATGGTGATGAGGAGGACTAAAGAAGCGAGCGGCGGCCAAAACGAGGAACGGAACACACGCGGCCCGCGGAGATGGAGCGATGGAACCCGTCTCGCGCATCGCGAGGCCGCGAACGACACCAGATGGCGACGGTTTAGTGCGGAGGTCTTCACCCAGCAGTGGATAGGACCTGGCTCCTACTGCCGTCTCCGATGCGGCGATGGTGATGATGAAATAACCACAACCACAACAACAACGGGGGCGAGATTTCTACGGGGCACGGACCATCGTAATCGCCTTTGGGAGTAAAATCTGTTGTGCTCGTGCGTCTCAAACTCCGACAGGTCCCCCCCCCCCCCCCCCCCCCCGCGTCTGATTAGAATTCTAATTCCTCTCCCGCCTCCACCCACGGGCGCTAGATCCCATCAGGCCGCACTTCGCTTGGTCAGGGTTTGTGGCTATCACCCGTCCAACCCCCTGGCTGGGGCTATCGGACCCCCACTCCCCCGCCCTTGGTCACCCCCCCCACTTCCAACCCCCCCCACCCATCCCCCACCGTACGAGGCGATCTCTTAGAGCGTCGAGTCAGCGAAATCGTCGCGCGTCTCGCTAAGGCGCTTTTCAACCCCAACCCTCCCCCCGCCTCATCCGCCTTCGTCTTTCCGACGGAAAGCAGATTACGGCCGCCGCTCCGCCGCCTTATTAACAGCAGGGGCTCGTCTGTGAGCGGCGGAGGGAGGGCTGCTGGGGAACGTGACCCGGGGAAGAGAGAGACTGAGAGATCTCCCCGCGTGTGCCGCAGACGCGCGTGAGAAGCTTGCGTAACCGGCGAGATGTGGGGCGACGGGGATATAGCCGTGCCCCCCCCCCCTTCACCCCCACGCCCACCACATCTTAGCGTACGACCGTACCCCCTTCCCCCCCTCCTGAGATGTGCGCTGGGATGATGCATGGATATGGGCTAACGCGTGGGAGAGACGGGAGAGAGACGGGAGAGGCAGAGAGAGAGAGAGAGGGAGACGGGAGAGAGAA